CAAAAATTAATAATATAATAAATTATTTATTTATATACAAAATAAATATACAGTATATAATTTAAACAAAAATTTCTTACATAATCTAATAAATAAAATATAGATACATAACCGATTACGACATTTTAATTAATTTTTTCATTCATTTTATTTTTTCAATCCTCATTGATCATATTAGTATATAATTAAATCATTAATTTACTGCACGATCGTAGATTAATGCAAATTACAGTATACAAATATTGAATTAGAATACAAGTAATAACGTAATGATTCATTAATTTATTATAATTAATAACTTTAATTAACGTATTAATAAAAGATTTATTAAGTTTTACTACTACTTTTTGTTCAATGACAAATATTTAATTTCGTCGGGAAAAAGAAAAAATTTTATAAATAAAATTAAAAAAACCCTATCTTTCTTCTACAGGTGGCGCTTTGTATTAATCATATATTCGTATAGAAAACAAAATTGTCATATTGTTATTAATATTCTTCCCAATATTATTTGGGAAATGGCCGTTTGTGATTCGCAAACGAATAACAAAACATGGGAATTAACTCTTTACGAACTGCACAGAACTCCTCAGGAAGTTATAACGGATAATACGGAAATTGCCGTCTCGCCCAGGAGTCTTCACAGTGAGTTGATGTGTCCGATATGTCTCGATATGTTAAAAAATACAATGACGACTAAAGAGTGTTTACATCGTTTCTGTCAAGAATGTATCATAACGGCATTAAGGAGCGGGAATAAAGAATGTCCTACGTGCAGGAAGAAACTAGTCTCGAAACGTTCTCTCAGACCCGATCCCAATTTCGACATGTTAATATCAAAAATATATCCCAGCCGAGACGAATACGAAGCTCAGCAGGAAAGAGTCTTGGCGAAATTAAATAAACAACACAGTCAAGCGCTGGCACACTCTATCGAAGAAGGAATGAGAATGCAGGCACTAAACAGGGCTCAGAGACCCAAGAAGCATCCTTCGGAAGAAAACTTGCCAGTATCTACAACGGTTCCCCCTCCACTTCTCGGTTCGGGTAACTCGAATGATTCGACTACGCCTCCCCAGCCGAGAAAGAGAATTAAGACCCATTCGGAAAACGAGTCAGCCAGTTCCGGTCTGGAGCAGGATCCGGTTAACGAGGACTGTGAAGAAGAGGCGACCGAGAATGCTCAGGAGGGAGATTTAGATATATTTTCTACGGAAGTAACCAGAAACGAAGTAGAGTTAGTTTTTAAGCCCCATCCTGTAGAAATGAGTCACATTAGTTCGGATGTTAATCAAGTCCGTTATATCAAAACGACTTCGAATGCATCAGGTATGTAAGTTTTGGAATTTAGGGTCAATGATGATTTTTAATTGATAATGACAATTTAAAATTATCGTTGAAAAGACGATAATGAATTTAATACGTCTATTTTTTTCTGGCAAATGTTTATATTTTTTAAGAGATATTGAAAAAGATAGATATTGGAAGATCTGTTGATTGTGTACATATTTCTTTAAATTAGAATAAAATGTTGTTTTCACTGTTTAAAACTGAATGGTTCGTACAGATATAAATTTGTTCTTAATAAAATTTATTTTTGTCTAAAACAGTCGTGAGCAACCTGTGCTGTGGTTGGCAAGGTTCTGATTCGTGTCCTTCGTGGCTTTGGTAATGTTTTATTTAGGCTACCTGTTTTTTTAATGTCATTATTCAACTCTAATAAACCTGATATTTGTGATAAAGAACATTCAAACTAGACAGTGTAAAGAATAAACTATATATTACTAGTTTGCATGTCATTAGCATATATTATTATAGTATCTAGTATAGTGGAGGATATGGAGTCTTGGTTAACTCAGCAAGCTTAAAGCCTGCAACATCATAAGAACAAAAATGCATGCAGTCTGCTATATGTCTACAAATTTGTGGCCTGAATTCAGAAAAGGTTGTTTGTCACTGGCCTAAAACATTCTAGCATTACTTTTAAATAAATAATTTATTTATTTTATTCACTGCATTTAATTTGCTAGATCTAGTCATTCAATAGATGGGTTTTATCAGATTATGAGAAGAAACAAGAATTCATTAAATGAATTGTACAATTTTTAATTTTACTAAAAATTAAGTCATTTTATTATTTAATTGGATTTTGATAAATCTTATTAAAAATTAAAATATTAAATTCACAGATTTGAATATTTTAAGCTGTTCTGAGTTAGAGTAGCTTAGGCTATAAATTAGAGGATTGTTTGTTATAAGGATGTCTTAAGATTTAATTAAAAAATAAGGAAACAAATTAAATAATTTCATTAACTTTTAATGAAATAAAAATAATTATGATGATAAATTTATTATCATTATACTTTTTTTCTATTATGAAGGATGAAGATAAAAATAAGCATTATCTGATTAAATATTAGCTAAAAGATATGATTACTTCACTGATACATTGAAAGATAAATGATGATCTTCAATGTCATCATTAATCTTACTCTTAATATTTTAGCAATGGCATCCATTGATGAGATAGCAAATGATTGAATGGGTTAGCTTTTCATGCTTACAGATTGGTAAATCATTTACATTTCTCATTTGTAAAAGATTCAAATGTAAATTTAGTAATATGAAAATTTTTTTACATTTGATGTAGATATTCACAAAAAATTTACAAAAATGTGAGATTTATCTAAAATACACATGCATGTATAATATAAAAGATATGTAAGTATGCTAAAGATAAGGAAACAGCAAAACTGAATTGACTGTTTGAACTGACAGTTGAAATTCAAATTGAGGAAGACTGCTGGAAGAATGCCAATTGTAATACTGGAAAGCTTTTTTTTTCTTATTTGCTTTAGTTTAATTTTATATGAAGATGATATGACAAAAAAAAAAATTAAACCAATTGTCATATTAACATTTAAAATTAAAACTTAATAAGCAATTTTAGTAAACTAAATATTTAAAACTTGTTATATTGTTTATGCCACTAAAATTCAATGACTTTTGTTCTAAAACATAAAATTTTAAATTTATTGATTTTATATTCTTTAATAATAATCTTGCAATTTAAGTGCTATAAATTGATTTGAACAAAGGTATAAAAAATATCAAAAAATTACTAAAAAGGATTTAGAACAGAAACTTTTCTAAAGAAAGTCAATGTGCAAATGAATTATATTGATCAGTAAGTTCCTTGTAGCCACAAAGCAATTTTTATAAATTTTTCTTAAAAATTGAAAGAGTATGTTTGACATGTTTTGATTTATGCAAAAACATTGTTTTTCTAAATTATGCTCATTTTAAAGATAAAAAAATATATTCTTTTCCTTTATTTTATATTTGCAATTTTCCAAATCATTATAGCAATTCTACATGTTTCAAGAATAGAGATAATTATTATTTGTCTAAGATTTCTCAAGCAGATCTTAAGAAAACATTTTTAGATTACAACATTTTCCAATCTGCATCCTGAGATATCTGAGGCACTTCCAGGGAGTATGCAAAAAAGAAGTCTGTAATGGCTGCCAAATATAGTTTTAAAGTAACAATTTTTTTCAATTTGTCTGCACAATTCAAAATCTTCCATACATAAGTGTTTAACTAATTTTATTTATTACAGACTTTACAATATTTTATACAGAAAAAACCAAACGATTAATCAATCATCCTTTGCAATGTTTATATATTTATCAATATATATATATATATANATTACACAGAATAAAATTAACTTTAAAGAACGATTAATTGACAGTTTGTGTAATAATGAAATTATTTTTATTTCATTTTTATTATTTTTATTGTATAAAACAAATTATTTTTATTATCTCGGAAATATTAGATTTGTTACTTAAACAATAATCCCAAATGGGTTAGGTAAATGAGATTTTTCTTTATGTTTATAAAAGTTAAAATTAACTTTAATCTTTAACTTATCAATATATATATATATATATATTTAAATATTTATGTTTTATAAAATACTATTTTAAATTAGCTTTTTTATCTACTAATTTAAAAAATACAATATTTCTGGATAAAACATTACAGTTGGAATTAAAAATAATAAAAGTAAAAGAATATACTAAGAGAATTACAACAATGTGCAAATATGAATTATTTTATTTTTAAATTAATTATTGATATGAAATTGAAATTTTAAAAAAATTGTACAAGAAACTTAATATGTCATTATATCAGCTGCTCAGGGATACATAATGGTAAGGTCAGGTCCAGGTGTGATCTTTTGGCTCTTTTAATTATATCATTATGAAATTAGATTGATTGTAAAACACTTTCAGTAAAAAGTTGGTTATAATAAAATTATTCAGATTTATGGTTCAGTCTCAGTTTTATTTTTGCTACATTCTAAAACTTTCATTTTGGCGTTTTCCATTTTGTTCCCCTGAACAGCTCGTATGGTTTAATTAAAATAAGACAAATTTGTGCTTCATTCCAAGTACTGTAGTTCCAGATGATTGCTTATTCACTAATGCAATCATTACAATTAACTGAAAAACATTAAAATGTATTTGACACCACTCTCTTGTGGTTTTGTTACAGTATCAAAAGTTATAGTTTATTTTTTACTTTACATAACTTGTTTACAATTTTTTCTGTTTCTTCATGCCTACATTACACTCTTTTATTGTTGTTTTATCTTTATGATAATTTTTCTAATAGAAAATTGCTTCTAATTTTTATATCATTATTTTTACTCCACATTGAATTTCACAATAAAAATAGTCAGTGTGTGCACCCTGTGCATCCAAGGTTAACCTAACCATTTTTTTTTCTACAAAAACCACAAATTCTTATAAATTTCATGTAAAATAAGACTCTATTGTAATTTCATTATAAATGTAGCAAAGATATTTTAACAATTCTTTAAAACTTTTATCTTTCAAAAATATTAGGTTAAAATCTTGCCTTTAGAATAGATATACAAAAACAAACTTGTTTAAGATTAAGATTACATATTTTGAAGATGAGATATATTTGTAAAAAATATTAAGTGGATTAAAAAGTTTAAGATTTCTAAAAGAAGAACAGTTATTATATTTCGTCATTTTTGAATAATACNATTTAATCGCTTTCGATGTTCTTGTAAGAAAGGATATCACGTAGCCAAAGCGAAAGTAGCACTACGATTGACATCAGCGCCACCTTGTCTGTGACGTCACTAACCTCGATGTATGGACCGAACGGTTATAATGGAGGAATATAAGCGCTTTCGACACTATATTTTCTAGCCACTGTACTTGGAGTTTGTTCAAAGATGGCGGCGTCCATTACTGTGTATACTTTTACGAGCGTGCTAGTATGACGTCAGGCTGCGCTAGTATGTCAGCTCGGCGAGCTTGGAAGCTAGCAAAAAGTAAACGCACTCATGGATGCGCTTACTTTTTGCTAGCTTCCATGCTCGGCGAGCTGACACCTACAACAGCCTGACGTCATACTAGCACGCTCATAAAAGTATACACAGTAATGGACGGCGCCATCTTTGAACAAACTCCAAGCTCGTTGTAAATTCTCCGAGCACGCCGAGCGCGCTAGGAATGTTAGCAATGACGTCACGGGTGTGAAAAGTAAACGCCGTACTCATTGGTAGCAAGAAAAAGTATACAGGCCGAGCGCGCTAAGGGCGAGATCGGAGCTATAAGTAAACGTACCCATTGTTAACCTGGGCCGTGTTCAGTAACGCAGAATTCTTGCTAAGTCTAGTTATGCTGCGATGTTGAACTCGTTTCTAACTAATGACTCCTCCCACCGCTAGAATTCTAGCTAGTTCAGTCAGCTTCTTTTATCTATGCTAACTTCTTCTACTGGTGACGTCATTGTTTTTGTTTTGTCGTACGATTTGCAAGATGGCTGCTCGTGTTGGACTAAACGTATTTAATTATAACAATCACAAAGTTATTCTCAGTGGCGTACCGTGGGTGTCAGCCGCCCGGGGCGGAGGAAAATTTCGCCCCCACCCTTATTTAGGTATTTCAATTTAAAAGACCAAAATTGAGTTTTGTCACAGAATAAGCAATGAAAAATTCGGTGTTACTGCAGCGACCTGTTTAAAATAGTTCTATTGGATATTAGTAATGTATATGAACGCGAATGAATCGTACTAGCAAAAAAAAAAAAAAAAGTCAACAGGTTTCGCAGGATTTCCTCGGATAAAAAAGTTACTAGTTCATCCGGACGGCGAGCCGATTCACAGACTGTCCGGACAATAGCACTATCGTAGGCGCAATGCAAGTATAGATTAGAATGTTTCAAATTTTTACAAGATATTATTATTAGTTATTGTGAAATTTTGCCGCCCCTAAAAAGTGCCGCCCGGAGCGGACCGCCACTGCCGCCCCCATTACGCTACGCTACTGAATAGGGACAATGCTGTATTTAAATATTTATAGAAATATTATAAGAGGACACAATATTTACAATATTTGTGGTTTTTTTATATTCTTAAATATTTTTATATTTAAATCAGCGCTGTAGTGCCAGGGCATACCAGGGCGACGCCCAGATACTTTTTTAAAGCAGAGCAAATCCCTTGTACTTTGTGAACCTCCCGGTTGAACTTTAGACTAGGCACTCCGGCCAAACAATTCAGAAAATTGTTTTTTGTACAGCTGTTTTTTGCGCTGATTAAGAATATATAATTCATTTTTGACGCATATAAGCCGTTTTTTTCTGCTAATATTGCGCCACAGAGTTGCGTTTTGCCCATGCAAACTTCGTAGACTGTGGCTGCTCCATAGGTAGTGGCGATTCAAACTCTTGGTGCCGGTCAGCGCCTTGGCATTTTTTAATTTACGACGACACTCTTGATTTAAATGTTTTTTATTTGCATTACAGTACTTGTTTTCGTAACTTTATACAGTGTTTATAGAAATGATTGTTAAAGAAAAGCAGAATAACTTATAACAATGTTATAATGACTTATAACAATTGTAATTCTCTTTAATTTACATTCAACAATAGTTTCATGCAACATTAGAAGTTTGTTAAAAATACAAGAAAGTATTTAATTATTAAGAAGACCATCTAATATCTCAAAATTCTGATACAGCTCTTTAAGTGAGTGATAAGATAAATAAATTTTAAAACATTCTCTTTAATAGTTGATAGATTTAAGATAATGATTAAGATGACATTCAAAGAGTAAAATGTCCTGGAATCAACACGTAACGAAACTCGTCGACATACCTACTGGCGAGGGAAAATGTATCTTTGCAGCTTTTCATAAATTAAGCGATGGTAAATGTTTAGCACAAGAGCCTTCTCACAGTCCATCGGTAAGTTTAATTTTTATTGTGAATAAGTAATATTTGAAACATTTAGCAATAATGATTTTAGTTTGAGTGAGAATCCTAGACAAATATGGAGTTCTGAGAGTCATTGTTTATAAGTTTACAACGTAAAATCCATATCACACAGTACTTGCTATGGTATTTGGTTTCGCATATTACGTTAAGCATAGCTGAGATTAAAATTATTGTGGTCTTAAGCTACAATAGGAGTTCTTTCTACTCCATCATTAGGGTCTCACGCATTTAAATAATAAATATGAATGCGCGAGGCCCTAAACTTTTTCTTCATATCGTAGACCTTAAACTACACATTTTTTAGCATATGTGTAAATTCGGTTTTCGAGAAAAACATAATATTCGTTATGTATCTAAAGCCTTTAAAATTTATTTTAATAATATAATAGCTGAGTGTGCCGGCGTTACTCGGACTTTTAAATTAAGGAGGTGGAATATTAGTGAGGTTGGATTAGGTCAGTGTTTCTCAACCTGTAACGAACCATCGCCCCCTTCAACGTAGTATCGCCCCTTCAATTAAACCGTTATGTGGTATCGCTCTTCACTTCAAAATTCCGAGGCCGAGGGCCAAGGCTAATGCCAAATTCGTACTGCATTGAATAGACTAGTGACTAGTATAATGTTATTTGTTTAATTATTGTACGATATAACGAATAAAATATCTAATTATTCTTAATTAATATAATGTTTTATTATATCGCCCAGAAAATTGTTTTTCGCTCTCCCAAAATATAAATTGTCACTAATCGCCCCCTCAACATGGAAAATCGCCCACATGGGGGTGGTATCGCCCCCGTTGAGAAACACTGGATTAGGTGATAGAAACAACAGTGTTAGTATATGAAATGTACAGTACGTTTATTGACCTGAGTACAGTCGACCCCCCTATAACACAGTAGATACGTTCCGTTCTTTATGAATCCATTTTGTACGAGTCCTTGCCAATCACAGCCCGATACGTGTGAAGTTTACGGACTACGGCTGTTTGAAAGGTTTTCTTCCATAAAATTAATCGATTCCTAGACTAATTCGACTCAACATTTCCAAAACACGTACAGTATATTATTTTAGGAATAATCCGTATAAACTATGCTATAAACAAAAAATTGTAGGATTACTTACCGAGTGTGCACCGTTCGACGTCGCCATTGCTTTGTGGAGAGCACGTGGACGAACGACACAAAGAAATTAGTCTACAATAAAAGTTTCCAAAGTGTTATTGTCGTTTCGTCCAATTATACAAGATTCTCAGTGATCCCAACTCCAATATATACAATTCGTGTACATATACATATATCAGAATTAGAGAGAGTGCAACGGTACTTCGCGACAATGTAAAACCGTACTTAACCTACCTTAACCTAACTTAATCTAACTTATATACTAAATAAAGAAGTAGAATGAGAGAAAAATATTAAGATTAAGAACAAAAAACAAAGACAAGAAAAGACTGCTGGTGGGGTACCCGTGTTTCTTTCCTTCCTTTCTTCAGAGTTCGCTAACGTCGATGAAAAGAAAACTTTCGTGATTTTCCTTCCTTTCCTCAGATTTCACTAACGTCTATGAAGAGAAAACTTTCGTGATTTTTCTTCCTTTCCTTTATGTCTCGCTCTATCTGTCCCTGAATCACACCGTCCTCCTTTGTTCCGGCGACCAGGATCTCCTCTCCACGTCTCTCTCCTCCCAACGCTAGCTCCCCAAGTCCCCTTCACCCTTTCTCTCCTTGCCTCGGGGCCTACTTCCACACCCTTGTTTTTCGTTGTAGTTCTCAGAAATGTTTTACCACCAGCAGGGAAACAGGACCGTTAGAAAGTTCGAGAAAGTGTTAAACAAAAGATCGAGGAAACTTAATCATAGGCTTAATACAAAATACAAATATAAAAAAAAAA